CACATCAATAGCTGCATTGCCTCGTTAGTAAGCTCCCAGCCAAATGTGTTGGTAGATAATTTGATTTAATAAGAAACACCGAAGCTGAAATATTGCTTTTATAAGCTGCAAGATCAATTCACCATGTGCTTTTTTTAATCAACTGAAATACATACATTTAAGCAGTAAATGCAGGTGACTTAGCATCCCTCATATCACAGCAGTGAGCGTGACCAGTTCCTCACATTTTTTTCTAATACTCCCTGATGTTATGATTCAAAGGGGAAGAGAACTTTCCATGAAAAATGTGTGCTACTTTTCTGCTTTTGGGCTTGTGTGTGCTTCTCCTTTCCTTTAATTACAGTATAAATCAACTGCAGGAAGAGATTTACAGTGATCACACCTCACTTAGAGAGCTGCGGAGATTGATCTAGAGATGGGGTATTTGTCAGGCTGCATCTGCTTCTCATCGTAGAGGTTCCAGAGTTAGTCCCAGGACACTTTGGTGGTCTTTGGAAGGAAGTCAGTATGAAAGCAACAAGTCGTGGCTCCCTCTGCACCTGTATTCTCAGACAAGGGCTGGCCACTTGTTCTTCCAGAACTCCAAGGTGAAACACTGTTGGATCAGTGGGGAGCTGTCAACTCACATATGAAGCTAGGAGAGTTGTAAGACTGCGTGTTCTGAACTCAGCTAGGTGGGAAGGAAATCAGAGAAGAAACCTCTATGTTGAATGGCATAGTTTTATGACTTCCATCAAGAAATTACTGAGACAATCCTATATTCAGGTCATTGAACCAAGTTCTTAAGGGAGGTCTTATCAGTTCTACTTCATGGAATTTGTTAGTTGGCTTTTTGAAGCTGAGTTCATTCACCAGGGTCACACGATGACAACACAACAACTCATAACCTAGAAACAAGTAGACACATGGTAACGTGACCAGGCCTCTCTTCACCCCTCAAAAGCTTTGGATTGTGGGTAAACTTGCTCTGACCACAGGAGTTTAACCTAACTTCTGCACCTCTCCAGACACTGGCCCCATCACCACCCAGGCGACAAGTCCCATTCTGGTCTTCAGATCAAAGACACGAAGCAGTGTACCGTTTGGATTCCCTCCTGTTGGATTTCTTTGAGAAATTTTGTGAATGTGCTTGTGTATTTAATTTGGTTGTTTCCTCTGAAAAGTGATCTGTAATTTCTTCTTGATTTGTGATAAAATCTCTAATAAATGATTAAGGTAGGTCAGAGGCAGTGGGATACACCTGTAATCCCAGCATCGAGGACACTGAGACAGGACAGCCTTCAGTTAGAGCCCAGCAGCCTGAGCAACATAGAGATATTGATACTGTGATGAAGCAGGGAGGGGTAAGGAAGGGAAGGAAAAAAAGAAGAAAGGAGGGAAGGAGGGAAGACAGAAGAAAGGGAGGGAGGGAAAGAGAGAAATAGAAAAAAAGGTCCTTTTTCCAAATAATGTTAATAAAAAATCTTGCCTTCCTGTTCTGTTGTTTCCTATAGTGGGATATTCCTGTTGAACAGGCATGCTCAGTTCATAAGAGGACACAGAAATGAACATAATCATACTTTAAAAATAAAGTATATTCTCAAATCTAGAAATTAGCTAGTAATTGAAATCATCATTGCAGTGTTTTAACTGATGACCACTGAACTCTATTCTGGCAAACGGCTCATAGAGCATTAATTGCATGTCACATTACAGATCTGTGGAGTTAAGTTCTGTCTTGCCCTTGGGACTGAGGGCTAAAGCAACTTTGTAAGTGTCTTTCAGAACTGAAGGAAAGAAAAAGAAAATGTTAAATTGCGGGGGTTCTACTTCAGTCTGCAAAATAGATGCCTCACTGGCCTTCCACATGTCACGTCATTTCCTTCTCTTGCACAAGGCTCTGAATTCAGTCCCAACACCAGAAACACACACACACACACACAATGGGAGAGAGAGAGAGAGAGAGAGAAAGAGAGAGAGAGAGAGAAATAGCACTTTCTGCCTTTTGAACACTTACAGAGTATCTACCTTACTTCAGCATGGTTAAAGGGAACTCTCTTGCTTTTCCCCCAAAACTCCCTACAGCTCTTTGTAAGGCTATTCCAGAAAGCTATTCCCACACACAGCAAATTCAAAGGGCTTACAATTACAATCAGAATTCGATTCTGATTTCAATTTTTCTACCCAATGTTTGCAAGGGGAAGCAACTGGATTCTTTTTAACCCTTTAAGTATTTTAATGGGTTATTTAAATAATTAAATAATTTATAATAATGGTTTACCAACTTTGGAATAGGATCCTGATTTAGTAACAAAAATATTTCTAGTATCCATCAGCAAGTGATATACAAGATATTAACACCTACATTATGAAGTTTGTAAGACAAAAGGAAGTTGACAAAGTTAATGAAAGTTCTGAAAATATGGCCACACCCCAACTTCATACAAATAGAAATATAAGCCTTGAATTTTTTCAAATCTAATTAATTCAAAAGTGAGCTTCCTTTTCTATAAACCTAATGCGTGGTTTGCTTTGATATTGTGTTAATTATTTCATTGATTTTTATCACTGCAAAGTTTCTATTTTCAAGTGAATATTGCAACACAATAGGGGGCAGGCAGTGTGGCTCAGTGGGTAAAGGCATTTGCTGCCAAGGTTAATGTCTTGAGTTCGGTCCCTGAACCCCACATGGTGGAAGGAAAGAACTAATTCCCACAAGTTAGGAATTCAATACATGCACACGCATGTCTGTACACACACACACACACAAACACACATACACACACACACACACTTGCACACGTAATAAATAAATGTAAAAAACAAAATCAATAGGAAAGAGCTATTAGTTTAAGGAAAATGAGTACTTTAGAAATATTCACATATATCTGGGATGTAAGTGTAATGCTGATTTAAGATTAACAGGCTTCAAACACATCCTATTTTGCAAATAGCATATCATTCATAATGAGCTATTTATCAAAGCCGTGTTTGGTGTGGTTAAGTTTATCTCACAAAGTTAAGATCTGGATTCATTATTTCTGCATTTTTCTGTTCACACATTTGTAACAGTGTGTGTGTTTCCACAAGCCCACACATACGCAGGAGCTAAGGGGCATTCTCTCTGCACGCTGACTCAAGCAGGCTACCAGTCCTGATCACAGAATAAAACCACTTGCGAATTTCTCCTATGTATTGCATTTTATTTAAAGATCAAGACTCACTTCTCATCACCACTCATGTGTGCTGTCCCCATAATCAAGACGTAAGTTCTTACAAGGACAAAAATGGTTGTCTCTCATGATACAAAGGCGAATTAATTCACTGGCAAGTATTGTGTGTAGATCATATCTTTATTTCTGACTGAAATACTTCTGCCACCTTTGACTGCTCCCGTGCGATTTTCCTTGAACAACCTGAGTCCAATTACAAGGTGTTTTAAGAGGGTGATGTTTTTATAACTTTATTCAGCTTGAGTTTTCAGTATTTCACCATTACCTTTTACTTAGAAACCATCCTTTTCAGATTCTGTTCCTATCCCTAAAGGAAAATATCTTAAGTGACCTTTGTACACAAATATAGACGTATTTACACCTCCAAGAAATAAGTAGCAGCATGTACCTTACCACATGCCCAAGGTGGAATTAACTTACTTTGTTTCCGTGAGAGTGTTCTGTACCTGCTTAAGTATAGCCTTGTGTCTCTATTTATAAAACGTGTTCATGATGGCATTGAGACATCCAGAGCCAGACCTTTTAAGGGATTATTTCACTTCTTATTTCACTTCTTGGGTAATTAAAGTAATTTAGCCTTTGGTGTAGTGGCTATGAATAGCACTTGAGGGATGAGGCTTGTAATAATTACCCAGAAAACCACTTATATGTATTACAGCTCAGTTATAGCATGCATGCAGAATGGCATCAGACCAAATTGATACTGAAAATCATGGCACACACTTACAGTACTGATTATCCAGATCCAAAATCAAAAGTTAAGACTGCTTTCTTTTGTGAGCAAAAATACCTTGAGAAGAATCTTTTTCAATAAATAAACTTTAAGGTTGAGCTTGTCGAAAATTAACTTTGTGCTGATTTTTCACTTGTTGATAACTGGAAGAGGAAAGGGATGGAGGTTCTACACCACTGAAGAATGTACTGATAGTTAACAAAACTCTGTATTTCAGTTGCATGTTATTAATTATGTAAGTACTTTTGTGAGTTTCCTCTGTCAGAATGCAAAGTCCATCAGAATGAGAAATTTCCCTTGTCTTCCCCTTGTCGTAAATAAACATAATTGCTGAACAGGCATAAGCACCCAATCACAGACACAGTAAAGGGACAAGCAATGGCCATCATAATTTGACTTCCTATAATAGCCGGGCGTGGTGGTGCATGCCTTTAATCCCAGCACTCGGGAGGCAGAGGCAGGTGGATCTCTGTGAGTTCAAGGCCAGCCTGGTCTACATAGTGAGTTCCAAGACAGCTGGGGCTACAGGGAGACCCTGTCTCAAAAAGACAAAAAATAAATAA